GAAGAGAAGCTGTCCAAAGCATCACATCGCAGTGTCCATCTTGCGAAGTGCCACCCACTCCCCTAAAAGCTTCCTTGCCTCTCTCTTCAGTCCTTAGTTGTTCGTTGTCTACTTTCCAAGCCAAATGTCCTTTTGTGACGGGCTTGCTTCATCTGGCCTAATGTCCTCAAGGTTCATCCATGTTTTGGCATTTGTCAGAACTCCTTCCTTTGCCTGGTGCACACCTGTAATCCCAACAGCCCTGGAGGCTGAGGCAGGAGGATTGTAAATTTAAAGCCAGCCTCAGCAACTTGATGAGGCCCTAAGCAACTCAGCAAGACCCTGTCTCTAAGTGAAATATTTTAAAAAGGGTTGGGGATGTGGCTCAGTGGTTGAACTTCCCTGGGTTCAACCCCCAGTTATCCCCACAAAAAAAGAATTCCTTCCTTTTAAAAGCTGCGTAACATTCTGCTGTACATACACACCACATTATGTTGATACATCCGTTGGTCGATGGGCACTTGGCGGGCTTTCAACTTTCGGCTACACATTGTGAATGATGCTGCTGTGAACATGGATGTACAAATCTCTAAGAGCTTTCAATTATTTTGTGTGTAGACCTGGAATTTAGGTCCTAAGGTGTCCAGCCCAGGGCTGCAAATTCCCCAGTGGACTCTTTACTGATCTCAAAGAAAGAATGCACAGGGCTCAGTGGAGAGGTTTTGGACTTTTTATTGCTCATACACTCCTCTGCGGCAGGTCAGGATACAATGGAGGACCTGTTCCTACAAGCAGTGGAATATATACGACGGGCTGCACGCCCACTCTGCAGGTGGGGATCCTTAGATGTTTTATGAGTACATTCCTTTACAACCAAGGTCATTCTGCTTTTATAATTCCCTAAAGACTGGAAATACAGAAGTGGCCAGCTTCCCTATCCCTATATATTTATATCATAAATATATATGTGTGTGTAAATAAACATATATATAAAATCAATGGACCTTTATTTTATTCATTTATATATGGCACTGAGAATCAAACCCAGTGCCTCACACATGCTAGGCAAGAGCTCTACCACTGAGCCACTGAAAGACCTAAGCAATCTCATTCTACTTAGGACCTCATTTTGCTCTGAAACTTAACCTCTGACCTACTGTAGTCCTAAAGTCAGGAAAATACCACAGAAAAGCTCTGTGGGAACAGTTCTTGGAAAAGCCGCAGATGGTGATCACCTAAGATAGGCCAAGATATCGAAATATCTGAAATTCTAGATGGCTCCCACCTAGGTGTGGTGACCAATATCTAAACTAGAAGCCCTGCAGTTTGGCAGTACCCCCCTTGTGACATCCTCATGATTTAAACCAATCAATTTTAAGTGCATCAACCCCTTGAACTAACCAATAATTCTTTCCAGATTCTTTCCCGCCACTTGATACGCTAATCATGTTTTAGAGTTGGTATTTGATTTTCCCGCGGTGTGTGATGATTTGCTAAGAGATGCTATGATGCATGTGGGGGTCCCTGCCTTCTCCAAAGAATGTATAAAACTACTGCAAATTCTGGGCCTCTTAGTGTGACCTGTTGCTGTGTGCGCGCGGAGGACCCAGCTAGCTCGCAATAAACACCTCTTTGCTGCTTACATCCATCTTGGTCTCTGGTGGTCTTTGGGGGTTCCGAATTCGAGCATAACACTACAACCCCAGCCCTCCTTTATATTCTTTAGAGTACTTCTTATCTAACTACAAGCTTTCCTAGGCACTGACTGATTAGTGTTTAACCCAATGTATGGTAATTCTATTTTTTTTCAAAATATTTTTTTAGTAGTTTGATGGACTTTATTGTCTTTATTTTTATGTGGTGCTGAAGGTTGGACCCAGTGCCTCATGCATGCTAGGCGAGCACGCTACCACTGAACCACAAACCCAGCCACATGGTAATTCTATTTTAATTTTTTTTGGTTAGGGGGTACTGGGAATTGAACTCAGGGGCACTCGACCACTGAGCCACTTCCCCAGCCCTATTTTGTATTTTATTTAGAGACAGGATCTCACTGAGTTGCTTAGCACCTCACTTTTGCTGAGGCTGGCTTTGAACTCATGATCCTCCTGCCTCAGCCTCCTGAGCTGCTGGGATTACAGGTGTGCATCACCATGTCTAGCTCTATTTTAATTTTTTGAGGACCTTCCATACTATCTTCCATAGTAGCTGCACAATTTACATTCCCACCAACAGTGCACAAGGGTTTGAATTTCTCAATATCCTCCTAACTTTTTTTTTTTAAATAGTATTCATCCTAATGGGTTTGAGGTTTATCTCATTTTGGTTCATTGACAAATTTAATTAAGTGAGGGACTTACACATACTTGTACACCCATGTTTATAGCAGTGTTATTACTGTATCCATCCAAAAGGTGGAAACAACTTAAATGTCCATCAACTCATGAATACATAAGAAATGTGACATATTCATAGCATGGAATTTATTCATTTTTCTCTAGAAAAATAAACTTTTAAAATGCTTATACTTTAGGGGAGGAAATATTGGGATTGGGAATATAGCTCAGTGGTTGATTGCTTGCCTACCATGAGCAAGGCCCTAGGTTTGACCCCCAGGATTGAAAACAAAATTAGTATATTAGACTAAAAATTTTCTTCTAATCATTCATTTACTTATCAACTGAAAGGTTCTAATACACATGTTTTGCATGTTTGTAATTTTATGAATATTCTATAAATTTTATTCTCATTTATGACTTCCCAAAACAGGGCTTTCTTTGGATACTTTTATTGTGATAAAATATTTAATATAAAAATTTACCATCTTAACCATACTTACATGCACAATTCAGTGGCATTAAGTAAATCCATAGCATTATGAAACCATCACCACTATCCACTTCCAGTTTCTTGTTACCCCAAAGAGAAACCCTCTCCCTACTAATTACTCACTTCTCATTACCCCTTCTTCCAGCCCCTGGTAATCTCTGTTCTTTGCTGACTCTATGCATTTGCATATTCTAGGGATCTCATGCAAACTGAACCCTGTGATATTTGTCTTTTTGGGTCTGGCTTATTTGACTTAGTATAATATTTTCAATTCATCCATACTAAAGCATGAGTCAGAATTTTATTCCTCTCAAAAAGGCTGAGGCTTGGCATAGTGGCACACGCCTGTAATCCCAGCAGCTCTAGAGGCTGAGGTAGAAGGATCTAAAATTCAAAGCCAGCCTCAGCAACTTATCAAGGCTGTCAGCAATTCAGCAAGACCCTGTCTCTAAATAAAATGTATTTGAAAAGGGCTGGGGATGTGGCTCAGTGGGTAAGCATCCCTGGGTTCAATACTCAGTGCCAAAAAACCCCAAAAAGGCTGAATAATATTCTATGCTATGAATATGTCACATTTCTTATGTATTCATGAGTTGATGGACATTTAAGTTGTTTTCACCTTTTGGATGGATACAGTAATAACATTGCTATAAACATGGGTGTACAAGTATGTGTAAGTCCCTGCATTCAATGGTTTTGGGTACATTCAGTTGTTCCATGGCTTACAATGGGGCTATATCCTGATTAAACCCATCATAAGTTGAAATATTACAGGTCAATATTATATTTAAAACATGTCAAATACTATAGCTTTGGCTAGTCTACCTTAAAGGTGCTCAGAATACTTACATTTGCAAAATCACCTAACACAAAACTTATTTATGATAAAGTGTTGAATGTCACATGTAACTTATTAAATACAGATCATTGTTTAATAAATATCATATAGTATTGGTTTTTTACCCTCATGGTTATGTGGCTGAGTGGAGGTACAGCTCTCTGCCACTTCCCAACCACATGAAAGGGCATTATATCACACATCAGCAGGCCAGGAAAAGATTAAAATGCAAAATTCAAAGTGCAATTTCTACAGAGCATGTATTGCTTTTGTACCATTCTACAATCAAACCATTATTAAGCAGGGGACTGTCTATACCTAGGCATGGGACTGCTGGACTGTTGAAAGCCACAGCCGAAGGGGCCCCAGCAAACTTCCAGCTGCCAGCAAACTTCCAGCTGATGATTGGCTCACAGCGGCCCCAGCAACATCTAGCTGATTTGCTCCTCTGCGGTGATGCTCATTGGGCTGTTTCCCTGCCCTTTCAGACCACGGAGCTGCTCATTGGGGGACTTTTTTGGCTCCACCCACGTGACCCAGCCAATTGGCCTCAAGAGCAGAAGGATTGTGGGAGGTGGAGAGAGGCTTGTGGGAGAGAGAGGCTTGTGTTGTGGGAGAGAGAGGCTTGTGGGAAGCTGGTGGTGGCAGTTGGGGCTCTGAGGGTTTTTCCTGAGAGGCTGTTTTGTTTGGCGTGTGTGGTTCTAAAAATAAAGTTAGTTTCTTTTGACAAGTGGCTCCTGATTGTGCCCGGCCAGACTGCGGCATTTGGTGGCTCGCACGGGGAGCGACTGAGGGTAAGTGATAAGGTAAACTGCTCGCCCCTGAAGGCAGGGCGAGAGGATGGGTAGCCATTTTAAGATTCTTCTTTTGTTTGGCTTCACTTTTGTTTTAAGTTGCCTGTCCCTGGAGATGAGTGAGACGGAAGAAAAACCGCTCACATCTGAGGAAAAACTATTTGCGTCTGAGGAACAGATAGGGAGAAAGGTTATAATGATTTTTTGTTGTTCTATTTTTATTTCATTCTATCTCGGTTTTGTTTGGTGTTATCTTGTTGGGTTGTATTATACTAGAAATATGGGATCAGAAATTAGTAAAAAACAAACCGAAAGAGTGTTAAGTAAATTGTTAGAGGAAGGAGGCATCCCAGTAAAATCAAGAGCAGTCAGGGCATATGTTGATACAATACAGAAATGTAGCCCATGGCTTTTTAAGGAGGAGTTGTTAAATACATCACAATGGAACCATCATGGTGAAGATTTAAAGAGAATAGAAAAGAAAAGCCCAGGGACTCTGCCAGTTGGCACATTGCCATTGTGGACGTTGGTATCTTGTTTGCTTAGTCCAAAACCTTCAGTTCAGACAAAGGTAGAGGAAGGAGAAGACATATTGATTCAAGTAAAAGAGAAGGTCTCTCAAGTTAGTCAGACAGAGGAAAAGATTCAAGTAAAAGAGAAGGTCTCTTGAGCTGGTCAGACAGAGGAAAAAATTCAAGTAAAAGAGAAGGTCTCTCGAACTAGTCAGACAGAGGAAAAAATTCAAGTAAAAGAGAAGGCCTCTCAAGCTAGTCAGACAGAGAAAGAAAGTGTAAAACAGAAAAAGCCATCAGGGGGAAAGTTACAACAGGAGACTGCTACTAACACCTTTCTATCACCAGAGGGTGTAAGTGTCCAACCAACAGCACCACCTCTACAGGAGACTGCTACTAACACCTTTCTATCACCAGAGGACGTAAGTGTCCAACTAACAAGGCCACCTCCATATGCTGGGAGGCCCCCAACCCCTGCAGTTGATAGTTGGGATCCTGAGACAAGATCTCAAATATTAACATGCCCTGTATTTGAGGCAGGAGGGCAGCGAGTTTACCATGTTTTAAATTTCAAAACAGTGAAGCAGCTAAAAGAGGCTGTAACAACCTATGGTCCTCAAGCACCCTTCACTGTAAGCATGGTCGAATCCATTAACAACTTGAACATGACGCCAGCAGATTGGGCTAATATGTGTAAAGCTGTGCTAAATGGAGGACAATACCTGTTATGGAAGGTTGCCAATGAGGAATTTTGCAAGGAGACGGATAGGCAAAATGCAGCAGCTGGTTATCCTCAGAGAAATCTAGATATGTTGTTAGGAAAGGGACCTTATGAGGATCAGCAGCAACAAATTGCATATGATCCAGGCGTATACGCACAAATTGCTGTAGATGCAATTAAGGCATGGAAGACTTTACAAGGACATGGAGGTTTACAAGGTCAATTATCTAAGGTAATACAAGGAGCTAATGAACCTTATGCTGAATTTGTAGATAGGCTTATTCAAACAGCTACCAGAGTTTTTGGGAATACAGAACAAGCAATGCCATTACTAAAACACCTGGCTTATGAGCAAGCGAATCGTTGGTGCAGAGATATCATTAGACCATGGAAACATGAAGATTTAAACACATATATTAAATTATGTAGAGACATTAATGAACAAGAGCAAGTCGTGGCAGCTGCAGTCAAACAGGCTTTAGATGCCAGAGACATTAATGAACAAGGGCAAATTGTGGCAGCTGCAGTAAAACAGGCTTTAGATGCCAGGCCAAGAACATGCTACAGTTGTGAACAAACAGGACATTTTAAAAGGAATTGCCCCATTGGAGGAGGGTTTAACAAAACTAGGTATCAAAGGAGTAGAATACCAGGTATTTGCCCACGATGCCGTAGAGGGAGACATTGGGCTAATGAATGCCATTCTCAAACCACCATAGAGGGTACTCCATTATCAAAAAACAAACAAGGACCAGGTGTTTATCCACAATATCGTGGAGAAAGGCATCGGGCTCCATTGCCAAAAAATGGACAGGGGGGCCCAATGCTCTGGGGCCCAAAACCACAAATATACGGAGCACTGGAGGAACCCAGCAACCCCATCAGGGTAGTGCCCAGGACACATTGTCCATCAGATCCCTCATCAGACAAACCAGAGGGAGCGCAGGGTTGGACATCTGCGCCTCCGCCAGAGCAGTACTAACTCCAGAGATGGGAGTTCAAATCATTCCCACAGGGGTGAAAGGACCTCTTCCCAAAGGAACAGTAGGCTTATTATTGGGACACAGCTCTTCTACTCTAAAAGGACTTATGATAAGTCCTGGGGTAATTGATCCCAATTATGAAGGTGAAATAAAAATTATAGCCAGTTCTCCAAAGGGTATATCAGTAATTTCACCAGGAGATAGAATAGCACAGTTACTAATAATACCCAGCCTACATGATAAATTTTCCAGTCGTACTGTAGAAAGAGGTTCCAAGGGATTAGGCTCCACAGGTGTAGATTGGGCTATGCTTTCTTTAAATTTAGATTCTCACCCCATGCTAAAACTAAATATTCAAGGACATGAATTTAATGGGCTACTGGATACAGGTGCAGACCTTAGCATCATCTCTCATCAAGAATGGCCAAAACATTGGCCATTACAACAAGCCACTCAAACGCTTCGAGGCCTAGGAGTGGCAACTAATCCCCATAGAAGTGCAATGGTATTAGATTGGAAGGACCCTGAAGGATGTGAAGGAACTATACAGCCATATGTATTGGATCATCTTCCCGTAAATTTATGGGGACGAGATGTCCTAGATCAATTAGGTTTGACATTAACAAATAACATCAACCAAAATGCACCCACTATTATGACTAGACAAGGTTTTAGGAAAGGAAAAAGATTAGAAAAACAAGAACAAGGTATAGCAGCACCAATACAAATAGATCAAGGAACAGACAGACATGGGTTGGATTTTCAGAAAGGGCCACTGAGACAATCAAAATTACTTGGAAATCAGAAAGACCAGTATGGGTTCCTCAGTGGCCCCTGACTAAAGAAAAGATACAAGCAGCCCATGACCTGGTCAAACAACAATTAGTGGAGGGACATATACAACCTTCTGTATCTCCCCATAATACTCCCATTTTTGTCATCAAAAAGAAATCTGGTAAATGGAGATTATTGCAAGATTTAAGAGCCATTAATAATGAGATGGTTATTATGGGACCTGCTCAATCAGGGATTCCTCAGTTGTCTGCTTTGCCAAAAACCTGGTATGTTTTAGTTATAGATATTAAAGATTGTTTTTGTTCAATTCCAATTCATCCTGAGGATAGTCCACGTTTTGCATTTACTATCCCTGCACTGAATCATGAAGGTCCTGATCAGAGATATGAATGGAAAGTACTCCCTCAAGGGATGGCTAACAGCCCAACTATGTGTCACATTAATGTTAACAAAGTAATCCAGCCACTTAGAAATCAAAATCCTGAACTACAAATATTTCACTATATGGATGATGTATTATTAGCACACAAAGATAAAAACACATTGCTAGAATGTTATGCCAGACTTACAAACTTATTAAAAAATTATAATCTAGAGATAGCAATAGATAAAGTACAATTAAATTTTCCAATTAATTATTTAGGAGTTCTATTATCCTCAACCATGGTCCGTCCACCAAAAATTCAAATACGAGTAGATCAACTCAAATCACTTAATGACTTTCAAAAGTTATTAGGAGACATGAATTGGATAAGGCCTTATTTAGGTATACCAACAGGAGAGTTGGGACCTTTATTTGATATCCTAAAAGGTCCATCAGATCCAAATTCACCCCGAATGTTAACACCTGAAGCAAGAAAGGCATTAAAAATCATTGAAACATATATGGAAAATATGCATTTGGATAGAATTGATATAAGTTTGCCTTTATTATTTATTGTACTACCAACAAAAAATATTCCTACAGGAGCATTTTGGCAAGAAGGTCCATTATTATGGATACATTTATCTTATTCTCCTAACACTATTCTTACTAGGTATCCTGAGGCTGTAGGACAATTAATACTCAAAGGAATAAAAGCAGCAAAGGGAGTGTTTGGAATTTCTCCCAATAAAATTATTACTCCATATACTATGAATCAAATTGATGAGTTAGCTAATGAGTTAAATACTTGGGCAATAATCATGTGCAAATCTAATGTTTCATTTGATAACCATTTACCATCTAATCCTTTATTGTCTTTTTGGTCATCGCATCCTGTAATTTTTCCAAAAATGACAAGAAAAACACCTATCATGAATGTTCCAAATATATTCACTGATGGATCAAATAATGGTACAGCAGCAATAGTTACACCCGATCAAACTTTTACATTTTTAGTACCCAAACAATCAGCTCAAAAGGTAGAGCTTAATGCAGTTTTACAAGCTTTTGTGATGTTTAAAGATTCTGTATTTAATTTATTTTCTGATATTCAGTATATAGTTAACGCTATAGTATCCCTTGAAGATGCTGGTAGGATTTCCCCTTCCTCTACTGTTTTCTCTTTGCTTTCCACTATACAAAGTCTAATCTGGGACAGAAAAGATCCATTCTTTATAGGACATATCAGGGCACATACAGGATTGCCTGGAGCCCTTAGTTTGGGCAATGATTTAGCAGATAAAACTACACATGACATACATATTTTCTCTACACTAGAAGAAGCTATAAATTTTCATAAAAGGTTCCATGTCAATGCTAATACTTTACAAAAGCATTTTAAAATAACTAAGGAACAAGCTAGACAAATAATAAAACAATGTCAAAATTGTGTGACCTTTTTACCACAAGTTAATCTTGGAGTCAATCCTAGAGGATTGATACCTAACCCTATTTGGCAGATGGACGTCACACACTTGCCAGAATTTGGAAAATTAAAATATTTGCATGTTACAGTTGATACTTCCTCTGGATTTTTGATGGGCTCCCTTCGTGCCGGAGAAAAAACTAAAGATGTTATAGCTCATTGCTTACAAAATTTTGCCACTGTGGGTGTTCCAAAACAGTTAAAAGCAAATAATGCCCCTGGTTATACTTCTACCTCTTTTAAACAATTTTGCTCAACATTTGGCATTACTCATATAACAGGAATCCCATACAATCCACAGGGACAAGGCATAGTTGAAAGAGCTCATCAAACTATTAAAATGTACTTATTAAAGCAAAAAGATGGAATTGGGAAGGGGTATATATTCCCCAAAGATAAACTTAAAATAACCCCTTTTACTCTAAACTTTTTAAATTTGGATTCATCAGGACTTAGTGCTGCAGAAAGGCATATGTGTCCAAAAAATGTGCATAAGCCCAAGGTACTTTGGAAGGATATTGTAACAGGACAATGGAAAGGTCCTGACCCAGTAATTGTCTGGAGTCGGGGGTCTGTTTGTGTGTTTCCACAGGGAGAACAGCAGCCGATTTGGATTCCAGAGAGATTAACCAAGGTCCTGACCCAGTGATTGTCTGGAGTCGGGGTCTGTTTGTGTGTTTCCACAGGGAGAACAGCAGCCGATTTGGATTCCAGAGAGATTAACTAAAGCAATTTCTACAGACCAAAAAGAAGATGATTTGACTCAAGTCCATAACAGCTGATATCCAAAACTCCAGTTTGGCTATCCTTACATCTGCGATAGAACCAGGATGCTTTTTTCAATATCAATTTTATTATTGCCCTTTCCCACATTCTATTTTGTTTTTTGAGCTCATACAGACCTAGGTTAATGTTTTGCTGATCAGTTCTATTTTTTGACTATAGAGTTTTTAAATATTGCAATGGAGATTTCACCTGTAAAAAGTTATAAGGCCTTTACTATTAGGTTATGTGTTGTATGTATTATATGTGTGCATACTTGTGTTTTGTGTTATATGTTTGAATGTACGTATGTCCATATATCATATATGATGAGCGCTCATGAAAAAATGGATCCAAATATATATATATATATATATATTTATTCACATGATTTAAATGGTTTAAATTGGGTAAACAACTGTTGAGGATTGTTTTAATATGTAAACAAAAAAGGAGGTTAACAGATCTGTTTGTTTACTTTCACCTTTCCTTTTCATTATATTTAATAATTCTCTTAAAGATAATGTAAATTTTAAGAAAATTGTTTTCTTTTAGTGCCTTCTGTAATGTTACATAATTTTTTCTTTAGCCATTACTGCCAGAATTCCTATCTTCATCCCAGTGCCGGTGAAGACAATGTAAATTGTTAAGAAAATTGTTTTCTTTTAGTGCCTTCTGTAATGTTACATAATTTTTTCTTTAGCCATTATTGCCAGAATTCCTATCTTCATCCCAGTGCTGGTGAAGTCAAAGATAAAACCAATCTACAGCTTCTGCAATAGCCATCACTGAACTGCTTGCAGAACTTGCCTGGACACATTGTGAACTCACCTGTATGCATTGTGAACTATCTGTTGGTGCAGCGACTTGTGGTAGTGTTGGGGTATTTTTGCTGATGATGTCATTGGTGGTACAATTTTTCCAAAAGGAGCCGTCAATTGGCTTGGTGTATCTCCCTCCCTTCTGCTTGTCATGATTGTCCAGCTAAAATTTGGGGGCCAACAGAGGTGAGGCAAAGAACCTCACCCCCCCGCTGGTACAAAGACCTCTCCACAGGTGTGGCTGTATACTGGACTGGTAGTCAGTGACGGGTAAGATCCAATTGCAATGGTACCAACCTAACGGGTAAGGACCATATGTACTATTGGACAACCTAAGGCAGGCACGGTCCCTAAGCCACATGCTTTTTGTTTAAACAGAGAGGGGGAGATGTTGAGAGCCACAGCCGAAGGGGCCCCAGCAAACTTCCAGCTGCCAGCAAACTTCCAGCTGCCGGCTGATGATTGGCTCACAGCGGCCCCAGCAACATCTAGCTGATTGGCTCCTCTGCGGTGATGCTCATTGGGCTGTTTCCCTGCCCTTTCAGACCACGGAGCTGCTCATTGGGGGACTTTTTTGGCTCTGCCCATGTGACCCAGCCAATTGACCTCAAGAGCAGGAGGATTGTGGGAGGTGGAGAGAGGCTTGTGGGAGAGAGAGGCTTGTGTTGTGGGAGAGAGAGGCTTGTGGGAAGCCGGTGGTGGCAGTTGGGGCTCTGAGGGTTTTTCCTGAGAGGCTGTTTTGTTTGGCGTGTGTGGTTCTAAAAATAAAGTTAGTTTCTTTTGACAAGTGGCTCCTGATTGTGCCCAGCCAGACCGCAGCACTGGACCATGCATCAGCTATTCTATGTCTAGCAAAGGAACCCCATAACTGTTTTCCACAGTGGCTGCGCCATGCTCCAATGAAACCAGGAGTGCACAGAGGTCTCGATTTCTCCTCATTATCACCAGCACTTTTTTTTTCTGCTTCCCTTTAGGTTTTCCATAAGAACCATCCTAATAGGTGTGAAGTGATATCTCATGGTGGTTCTGGCTTGGGTTTCCCTAATGATTCGTGACATTCAACATTCATGGGCCTATTAGTCATTTGTATATCTTCTTTGGAGAGATGTCTGTTTAAGTCCTTGCCCATCTTCTAATTGGGTTGTTTTGTTGTGGAGTTGTAGGCGATCACAAAATTTATATGCTGAGAACCTCACTCCCAATGTGAGTATATTTGGAGAGAGGGAGGTCTTTAAAGAGGTACTTAAGGGTAAATGAGGTCCTGAAGTGGTTGAGTAACTAGTGTCCTTATAAGAAGAGGAAGGGACACCAGAGAGCTCTCTTTCTCTCTCCCACCTCTCTCCCTCACTCCCTGTGTGCACAGAGAAAAGGCCATGTGAGGACACAGAGTGGGGCAGCTTGTCTGCACGCCAAGTAGAGGGGCCTCAAAAAAAAAAGTATATATATATATATATATATATATATATATATATATATATGCATTTACATTGCTTAAGCCACTCTGTGATATTTTGTTATGGCAAGCAGAACAGGTAAAAGACTCACAGGAAAAAAAAAAAAGAAAATGAAAGAAAGAAAGAAAGAGAAAAAAAGAAAGAAAAAGAAAAAGAAAAATTGATCATTGTAAAACCTCTGCCCTCTGAAAGGTACCATATGGGAAGAAATACAGGATGAGAGAAAGTATCTACAAATCACTTATCTGAAGAAATATTTCATAGAATATACGTAATCCTCCAAATCAGTAACAAAAGTGACTTTTAAAATGGAAAAACAGAATAAAACAGGCACTTTCCCCAAACAAAAAGAAGCTCATTATCAAAATTAGGAAAATCCATTACAAATCTAACATCATGGTTCAATTTTTAAAAACTGACGATAGTAAGTGCTGGTGAAGAGGTAACTAGGACCCTCCCTGCTGATGGGAATGCATAATGATGCAGCCACTTTGAAAACCACTTGGACAGTTTCTCCCTTGTTATGAGACCCAGCAATTCTACTTACTCCTTGGCATTAACCCAAGAGAACGAAGACATGTGTTCACCCAAAGAAACCTGCAGATGAAGTGTTCATGGATGGAGACTGTCTCAAGGGGGCAAAATTGCAACGACATGTGCAGTCAAGGGGAGAAATAAATAATGTCCATGCGCTTCTGCCCCTTTTCAATGCTTTATTCACTCAAATTACTCAATACAGATTTACTCTATAGGCTCTTAATCAAGAAAACGACAATCCTTAATGGTAGGCACTGCAATAGACAAAATCAATTCACAGCAAATATTCTA